TAGTTTGTGCATTGAGGATCGCTCCCTTGAGGAGCAACCACTCCTCTTGAACTCCCCTCTCCCTGTGGTCACGGTCCCTTAGGGCCTCACTGACAAGCCTCCTGAGCTTGTCAAAGTTGGCTTTCCTGAAGTCAAGTACTTCAGTGTTGCTGAATAACTTGCCAGCTTTACAGTGGATGGTGAAGGTGACCAGCTCGTGGTCACTGTCACCAAGCTTCCCATCGATCACTAGGTCGCCGATTAGGTCATCCCCAGTAGCCAGTACCAAGTCGAGTAGCGCTTTACCTCTCGTTAGCCCATAGACTTCTCGAGTCAGGTAGAGGTCATCCACGCATGATAGGAAGCTTTGTGACCGCTCAGATTTTGCTGAGTGATCCTCCCACGAGATGTCTGGGTAGTTGACGTCACCCATGACAACTGTGGTCCTGGAGTATGCGGCCTCAGCCAGTTTCCGGGCAAACTCCTGGTCAAGCTCTTGACTTTGGGTGGGAGGTCTGTAGTAGACTTTCACCGTTGTGTCCCCTATGCCGTGTTCCCCATGGATTTTAACCCAGAGGGTCTCCAGTTGTCCACCCTGGTCGCCAACTTCAGCTTGCAGGGACGCGTAGCTTTCCTTAATATAGAGAGCTACACCCCCGCCCCTTTTATCTACTCAATCTCTCCTGTACAAGGTATAGCTGTCTATACCTGTGGACCAGTCATGGGTGGAGTCCCACCAGGTCTCCGTTATCCCTATGAAGTCGTAATTATTGTGTTAAGCATGAGGATGGGTTCCTCCTGCTTATTCCCCAAGCTCCTGGCATTTGTGTACAGGCAGGCAAGTGTCCCCTTGCCCTCAGATTGTACCAGGGCAGGGGTGGGCTCCCTTAAGTGCGTTGGCCTGCTGGCTTTGCAAGGGTTGCTCAGCGGGCCAGCAGTGGCGTTAGTCCCCCCGTCCCCCGGCGGGCTTAGTTTAAAGCCCAGTGGAGCAGGTCAGCCAGTCTGGCTGAGAAGAGCCTCCTCCCCAGGCGAGAGAGGTGGAGGCATCTCTTCCCAGCAGCTCACTGCCTCTCTCGCCAAAGAGCAGGCTGTGGTCATGGAAGCCAAAGCCTTCCTGATGACACCAGCGCCACAGTCTTTGGTTCACTAAAGTTTTTTGAGATCTACACATGAGAAGTTTTATGTAAACTCTATGCATTATCCATTAGAAAGTGACTACTATTTTCTAACTGGCAACATAAAGTTGTTGATTTCCACAGAAATTGGACAGCACAGAATTTGCAAAATATTCCAGGAGATAATTCCACAACATGGTCAGAGGCCTTAAATAGCCCATAAAAGTAAATAATTTAAAAAGGCAACAAAATATAGAACCTCTTAAGATAGTGAGCAAACTTTAAAATACAGTTGACTTGAAAACATTAAAAGAAAAAGAAATTCAGAGCTGAAATTGCTACCTTGTTCTTAACTTACATCATCCAGCAACAGAAAAAAGGATGCCTTTTGCGCTAAGGACCAGTGGTGATGCGTAGGAGGTGCATGGGGGTGCACATGTACCCCCTGAGAGCACTGGTGCACCCCCTGTAAGGCTGTGCTCCCTGTTTAGGCAATGGACATGGGGGCAGGTGGGAGCACTGATGCCTCCCTGCGAGCATCGGCTGGGGAATGGGGCTGCCAGCAAAAGCAGCCAGAAGTGACTGTGGGACTTCTGGAAGCAGTGCAGCCGCTTTCTGGTGAGTAAGATTGACCGTGGGGGAACACCCCCCAATTCCAGTCAGCACAATTAGCCGCGGGGGACCACCCCACCTCCGGTCACTGACTGGTGTGCCCCCTCTGGCTCAAGAGGCACCAGTCACCCATGCTAAGGACACACTTTTTCTTTTACATGTGTTTTGTACAGCCTCTGTACTGATAATTTGTGAGCAGTTTGGTGCTATTTCAATATAGGCTACTCGGAGAGGTTGTAGAATCTCCATCCTTGGATAGATGTTTTTAAGAAGAAGTCAGTTATTTAGCTGGGGTGGTTAGTCAGGGACAGTCCTACCTTGTGAAGGGGGCTGGAATAGATGACCTCATAAGAACTGCCATTTACTGAGTCATATCATAGGTTCATCTTGTCCAGTACCCTGTGTCACACAGTGGTAGTGAATGCTGAAAGGGGGAGTCAACAGGGTGTTACCAGGGTTTTTTCCATTGTTGCTCTCGCTCGCAACCTCCAGCATTTAAGGTCTAGGAAATTCTGATTCAGAGAATGTCAATAGCTACTGATGCGCCTTCCCTCCTCAGGTTCTTTCCAACCTCATTATGTATGATTCAATGATACTGAGAGTTTTTTGGCAATGTAAATATTAGGAATGCCACAACATTTAGTTATTATAATTTAGTATTAATTTAACACCAATTACAATTAAATGTCTTAGCTAAATAATTAGGAAGATTAGAAAATGTGTTTTGATTTTTACATTCCCCAACTCGTATGATTGGTAGCATGAGAGATCATCAAAGTCATTCTTCAGAAATGATGGTTATAACAAGTTTCTTTGGCTGTCATGAAAGATTTCTTATATAGCAAGAAATACTTCTCAAAATGTAAACTCAAAATGTGAACATTTAGACTTCTGATTATTCTTCCATTTTGTATGCAAGTTATACTGACTTCAATGAGACATGCATGTGCACAATTGGCAAATTAGGGCCAAGAATGCCACACTGAGTTACATAGGATCATAGGAAAGTTGGGCTGGAAGGAACCTCATAAGGTTATCCTGATCAAGGCAGGATGATCAGACTAAACCATTCTAGCCAAGTGTCTGTCCAACTTGCTTCAGAATTTCTCTAGGTAGCCTGTTCCAATATTTGACCACTGTCATGGTCAAAAAGGTAGTCCAAATATACAACCTAAATTTCCCTGGCTGAAGTTTGAGGCCATTGCTCCTAATCCTGTCCCCTATAAACGCAGAGAAAAAAAAAATCTCCATCCTCTGTAATTAACCAGGAATTTGAAAACTGTTATAAAATTCCCCATCAGACTTCTCTCCTCCAGACTAAACAACCCTAGTTATTTCAGTCTTTTCTCATAAGTCATGCTTTCCAAATCTTTAATAATTTTTTGTTGCCCTACGCTGGACTCCTTCCAATCTGTCCAAGTTTTTCTTGAAGTGTAGGGCTGAAATGGGACACAGCACTCCTGGTGAGGCCTCACCAACTGAGCTGAAGAATCATTTCCCTTGATTTGCAAGTGACACCTCTGTTGATACAACCCTGTTCGTATATAGCGGTAAGTATGCTTACCGCTATATAAGCCAGTATCCTGTTGGCTTTTTTGCAACAAGAGTACACTGTTGGCTCATATTCAGCATATGATCTACTGTAACCCCCAAGTCTTTCTGCCATACTGCAGCATAGCCACTAATTTTTCAGTCGGTATTTGTGCATGCAATTACCCTGTCCGAAGTGCTGGACTTTGCCCTTGTGTGGCAGGCTTGCCCAGCTTTGCCCAGCTCTCCAGGCTTAGGAGACCGCAAATGCAATTGGTGGGGCAAAACCCATCAATTAGAGACAGGCAGGGGAGGAGCCAGGAGGAGAGTTCGTTCCCCCTCTAATCGAAAGGGATGTGGGGCAGGAGTGGACTTAATTGGGAACTGCAGTTGCAGCCTCCCTAAATGATTCATTTTCAATCTGGGGGCGGAGCCCCAGAAGAGGATATAAGCAGCTGCTTGCCAAGCACACGGTGCAGTTTGCAACAGATGAAGAAGTAGGAAAGGGTCCTAGGGCCAAGAAGAGCTTGGAGAGCTGCCCAGTGGGTATAGCTGGCTGCCCAGAAAACCCCGAAAGATTCCACCACTGGACAGAAGTGGTGGGCAGTGCAGGCATCATTGCATGGAGGGTCCATGAGGGACTGGGACCCTGGGAGCCGCAGAGAGGTGGCTCGGGTCTCCAATCCTGGTGTGAGGCTGGGCACGGGAGCCAGCGCTACTACAGGGTGAGTCATTGTAGAGCGTAAGGCCCTGGAGAAGGAGGGGCCGGGTGGTCTGGGACCAATACACTGCAGTGGGTCCGCATGGGCCCCAGAAATGGAGCAATTCCTAAGCGTGGGGAGCCGCATTCAGAGCAGCACGGCCTTGGGTATGCACGAGGCGACCCAGGCTTGCAGCTCCCCCTAAGAAGGATTAAGCCACTGGGACACTTGAGTGATTCACGCCACTCCTCTGAGGCCTGGGCTAAGCCCTCCCTTGGAGAAACATTAGCCAGGCCAAGGAGCTTATGAACACTGCCCCACTCAGCTCCTTGGGACATGTGGGTGAGTGATGCAATGGATCTCCCACTAGGGAGTGACACTCAGGAAAGGTAGCCTCAATAAAGAGGCAGGAGGAAGAGATCCCCTAGAGGAGGGGAACCACTAGAGAACACTTGTATCTCATATGTTAGAGTGAGTATTGATTGTTTGATACACGCTGTGCATTTTTGGAGTGTTTATTAACTGTTAACTGTACACCTTGTATTTTAGGGTGCCATTTATTGTTGTATTTACCTGTTCATATTGTTTGGGACCATTATGCTTACCTGTTTGTATTTGGGTGTGTATATAGTTATAGTTATATCTATTTATAACCTGTAAATACTCAGTTTAGTTCACTACCTTTATATATATATACACTCACACACACATCTATATTAAATTTATATCTGATTAAGACATCACTTTTTGTTCCTCCTCTGTTGAGACATGATAGGTGGGAAGGAACTGCGAGTGACTGCAGTTTCCACCCCAGCATGTGTGCTCTGCTGGCTTTCCCCTTCTATTGGTGTGGGAGATGGGACACTCATTTTGGAGACACCGGGCTACACTTGTCTTTGCTGAATCTCATCTGGTTAATTGCTGACCATTTCTCCAGTCTATCCAAGTCATTCTTGATCCTAGACCTACCCTCTGGAGTATGGGGAACTCTATCCAACTTGGTGTCATCTGCAAATTTGCTAAGTGTACTCTCAGTCCTGTTGTCCAAATCATTAATGAAAATGTTGAATAATACCAGACTTAGGACAGGCCCCTGGCAAACCCTACTTGATACCTCCTGCCAACTAGACATTGAGCCATCGATAACTACTCACTGAGCATGATGATCCAGCTTGTTATGTATCCACCTTATAGTACTTTCATTTAGTTTGTCGGTACTAGCTAAGGGATACCATTAAGTGTTTTAATGGTATCCCTTGTTTAGCTTGTTAATGAGAATGCTGTGGGAGACAGTATCAACAGTCTTGCTAAAGTCAAGCTGTATCACATCTACTGCTCACACCCCACCACTCACAGAGCCTGGTACCTTATCATAGAGGGAAGTCATGTTAGTCAGGCATGACTTGCTTTTGGTGAATCCATGCTTTGTTCCTGATCACCTTGTTCTGCTCTAGAAGAAAGCACCTTCTTCCTTTTCTTAAAGATGAGCTCTATATTTGTTCTGTTCAGTCATTCAGGACCTCACCTAACCTCCCTGAGTTCTCAAACAGAATAGCTAATGGCTCTGAAATTACCTTAGTCATTTCCTGTAGTACCCTAGAGTGCATCCCATCCAGACTTGCTGACCTGAAAGCATTTTGCTTGTCTAAGTAATCCCTAACCCATTCTGCCATTACTCTAGGCTAGTTGTCTCCTTGCCAATCTTTGCTGCCAGCTGTGCTCATCACCTGGTAGCTGCCCCTATTTGTGAAGACTGAAATAAGAGGAAGGATATACTTTAGTCTTCTCTACATCATCTTTAACTAGATTGCCTTCTGTATTTCATAAAGGACTTGCATTTTCTTTGGTTTTCCACTTTCTCTTGACATACATGTAAAATCCCTTTCTTTGCATTTTATGTCCTTGGATTGCCTTTTATCTCCCCTTTCAGAGCCATGGCACTTAATGCTGTCACTGCTTCCCCACCAGCAAATCTCCAACCCTGTGGGCTGAATGATACAGACCCATTCACCAGATTCAGTGGGCCAGAGGTTGAGCACCACTGGTTTAGACCAAACTTAATTCAATCTATGGATGATTTCTTGTTCCATGATTTTCTGTTAAAGTTCATCTTTTAAGTTTTGTTGTCTAAGAACAGCCACTCTGAGGTCAGCGATGGAATGTCCAAGGAAGTTAAGGTGTTTTGCCACAGGTCTGTGTATCTTTCTGATGTCAAATCAGTGTTCGTTCATTCTTTCACATGGGGATCACTCTGTCTGTCCAAAACAGACAGCAGAGACACGTTAAGCAAGTATGAAATTGGTAGAGGAGCAGCTAAATGAACCTTGGATGTTATAATCCATGTAATTTGATCCAGTCTGTGTTGATGGGGAGCACAGGCAAGGTCCGCTGCCCTGTTAAGAATAAGAGTTAGGTAATCTATTGCTGGAGAGATGCCATTTGAAGTGGGGAGGGGGAAGGTTGTCTGTAGACCAGAACAGGTTTGTCCTCCATGGCTGCCTTGATCTGGTTGTCATTTTCCTGGAAGGGTTGAGGGTCATTAATGATATATCTAAGGTGTTTAAGCTGGTAGCTGTAGGTGACAACCAAAGAGATTCTGTTTTTTATGTCATGGGGTTGGTATTGTAGCAGGTCAGAGTTTGGATTATACAATGTAGCCCTTTGTAAGAGGGGCTCTTAACCCTTGCTATGTTAAGAGAGAAATAAATAGCTGACTGGGACCAACAATGAGAAACAGTGAGTCAAGAGGAGGAAGGAGAGTAGTAGCTCCAGAACTGCAGAAAAGCTACAGGTTACTTTACTGGAGCAAGATAGTAAAAGAAAGAGGCTACAAGGGCTGGGCTTCAGACATAAGGTTAAATAGCAGTTGCAGCAGACTAGAGGGGGCTGCTGATAATTAGGCAAGTGAGTAACCTTTATTATTGAGAGTAAGGCCAAGCAGCAGAATTGAGGAGCTGCAAGACATTGTAGAGGGCAGCTTGCAAAGGAGCTAGCTTGGCTGTAAGGCAGTGCAGAGTGTGATTGTATTTACCTGTTCATAAACTGGCCATAGAGCAGGGAACCAGGCTACAGAAACATAGATTGATTAGTTGGAAACCCCTGTGTCTGGTTCTGAGAAGCAGTGATCAGATGGCCGGAAGGGACTTGAGTTAGTAGATATATAGGCTTAGCGCCGTGGCTAGGGAGTCACTTTGGTCTTGACAGTTGTAGAAGGAAAGTTGTCCATGGAATGAGGATTAACTAAAGAATCCATAAAATAAGTTATCCTGGGGAGCTGGTCTCTGTAGTGAGTAGGCCTAGACAGGTCAATTGTTTTCAGTTCAGTGCTTATTTTGGCTGTTCTTACCATAAGGCTTGGGAGTGGCTGAAGAGAAAGGAGGTTATGGTGGGTACCAGTGTGGCCCTCTGCATTTTGGAGCTGGCCTGGCACTTTTCATTGAGGTAGGCCAGGAACTTAATGAATAATACAATCAATGAGGGGAGCTCTAGAGTGTGAGTGCACCCTGGACAGAGAAAAAAAAGCTAAAAATTAGGTTGGCCAAGGCCCATTAGAGGGAGAAATGCCCTGGTTGAGGAACAGCTAAAGGATTGGGCCCAATACATAATTGATCAGGACACAGTGAGATGCTCAAGGCTTACTTTGATATTCTGAGGGAGGCTTCCCAAACTTTTTGAAAGGCATCAAAAAGCATGGCAGGCAAGAACAGGGCAGTATGGGATCAATGTGGCCATTAAGGGGCAATACAGCCACAAGCCAGAGATGGGTCCTGTCACACCCTTATAATTAGGATTTTTTTTTCTTTTTTTAGCTGATACATTTTTAGGGAAGATGGGTTGATGGAATGTCTTCTAATAGTTGATGTGCAGCTTTTCTTTAAAAAAAAAAGATTAGACTGATAATCTTGCTAATTTTAATGCAGTATCTTTTTTTTTTCTTTTTTTTTTTTTTTTGCATTTAGGTCAAAGTATGGCAAGATACCTCACAATTATCTAATGTTTCAGATCACCTTGATCCTGAACAGTTTGTGTACAGATTCAAATCTAGATGAACTCCTTGTAAACATAGAAATTTGGTACCTATGCTCATAATGTTAAAACTACCAGCTGCTTTCACTATAACTGATCATAAGAGTCTGCTGACTTTCACTGCAAGTTCTAGGATCAGAGATATGAAGTCACCAAAAGGCAGCCATATCTAATCTCAGAGAATAGCTTTTTGGATTTGTATCTCTTTTTTTTTCTTGAGGGCTCCAATGTTGGGGTTTCACAGAGCTTCATCTTGCCAACTTTGTAACCAGGATAAAATAAAACTTGACTGTAGGAATGGGAAAATACCAAGACTGTATAAGGACTACATTTGTACATTTGAAGGTGGTGCTTCACTCTATTGCTCAGACTCACAATTTGATGATACTTGGTTGCTGTTAGGTGATCATGTAAAGCAGTGTTCTAGACTGATATCTTTATTCTTCTCTGTGCCTGGGCAAGGGTTTAAATCCTTTTCCTCTGAAAGAGCAATTATAATTAACCTTCTCAAGACTGGAACACTTCAGCGATCACTAGGTGAAACCAGACCTTAAATCAGCTCTGAGACTAAGCTTAATAGAATAGATGGTGGCTTGCTTGTTAAATTGAGTCCTCACTGGCATTTGATGTCAACATGTGATCTGTACTGGCTGCCTGCCACTTACTAAATTTAAAGCGCTAGTATTGATTTTTAAAGTCCTAACCTACCTGTTTGAGATGAGCTCTTTTCACATCCCAGACTGATATATCAGCAGCACAGTCACTGCCATGGCAGGGCTTAGACATTGGAATTCATTCACTCCGCTGGTCTGAATTAGCCCAAATAGGTTGTCCTTTAGTACATTCTGTAAAGCCTGTCTCGCTCTTCTCAGGCTTTTAAAAAAGGAGGCTAAGATGGGAGTGGTAAGAGGGCAGGGATATGACATAAGTGGACTTTTTTCTTGCTCTTCCAGTTGCTAAGATGGCAGTTTGTTTATTTTTATCTCTTACAGGGGCACAGGCACAGACTTTAAATATTAATATTTTTATGTACATAAAAATTAAAATATACTGTATAAATGCAAGTAAAAATTTGCTCTTGGTGGGTTTAACCTGGTAAATAACACTTTAATTATATATTTTTAGGCAACCAGTTATAGAATGAGTCAGTCATTTTTAAACCCTTGAATAGATATGTTCCTGTTGAGAGCTTACTAGACAGCCAAGTGGCAACTAAGTGTACTTTTTAGACATGGAGCACCATTCATGTTCTGAGTTCTGTAACTCTATCCTCACATAGGTAGGAGAGGGTAGATTTGTTTTGAGGATAATGACCGCAGCATATAGGAGGATGTTACTCTTAATTGGTATTCTCCAAATTGCTGATGGTGTTGGCTACAAATGTCCAACTCGGGATCCTTAAAATTCTGGTTTATTAGGCAGATTGAAACACTGTAATGAGTTAAATCATAAACCTTGGGGCTGGTCCTTCTGCACACACACAGTAGCAAGCTGCAAGAGTCGGGTATACCTATCCCACAGGTGCTGGAGTCTGTTGTTGAGGCTTCTTTCAGCGTGGTGTTATCTTCCAGAAGGGGGTCGCCGGCTGCTCCTTCTGGCTGGACAGGTCGGGTGCTGGTCAAGTTGGAGATCAAGAGGGCGCCACTGAGGGTCACTTTTCACTGCTTTTTATCTGTCCTTGGCAGACTTTGGTGACGCCCCAGTTTTCAGGTTTGCCCAATCCAGGGGTCATTGACCCTTGTGGGACTTCCCCCCCTCAGTGGCTACTGGATGGCATCTGTCAGCCCCAGGGGTCATCTGCATGTATGTGCAGGTTTGGGAGTCCATTGATGAATTTTGAATAGGGCTCTGGGAGCAGTTGATCTGGAGATATTCAGCCCAAAAGTTGGTCTGCGGTGTTGATTAACTCAGGCCAGGGCTTCTAGCCCTTGATCAGTGACGTTTAGAGATTTCCCGGTTGTTACCTTGTCTTCTATTGAGTTCTTCTGTTGGTTGATCTGCAGTTTCCCAGGTGTTAATTACTGCCTGCTACCGTGTGTGCCATGGTACACAAATAGATAAAAATACCAAAATACAAGGGGAGATACAAAATGCACACACATAAATTTTGAAACACAATTCCTTATCTTAAAGTGAAAGAAAAAGGAAGGTAGAAGAGGTAAAAGAGGAAAAACATATCCAAGAAAGGGAGAGCAAGTGCAGGCAAGAGGAAAAGGGGCTTTCTGCTACAATGGAACAGGATTAGCACATCCTAGAAAGAGTTACTACTAGCCTTTCCTTGCCAGGTGGATGAATGGCAGAATCCAAATATTTGAGGGAATAAAAAAAAGTTAAATGGAAAGATCCTCCCACTATAACTAT